AATCTCTTTCTCTCTCTCTCTCTCGTTCTATTTCCCTCTTTCTTGGTTTCTGTCTATTTGTCTGCCTGTGGTCTAGCAAGCAAGTTAAGCACATCCTCTCGGTGATTATTCCTATTGATTGTTTTCCATTTCGTGTCGTTTTGAATAGATTGCCGCAAGGTTGATTGCTTGCCCCGTTACTCTTTTTCCGCTTTCTTTCTTAGTGGCATGTGTCTTTTTGTTTGTTGTGCTCGGGCGGTGACGTATCGTATCATTCCCACTTTCGTTCGCACTGCACGGATCTTATTCCGCTCTCGATCAGTCCGTCTACGGATCTTATTCAGCTCTCAATCAGTCCGTCTGTCATTGGTTGGTGCTCTCTTAGTTCCCTTCTTTTCGTTTCAGTTCCCTTTGCCCACTTCACTCGATTTTCTGGATTCTCCCCTTTCTGCCAGCTCCTGTGTGCTCTCCCTATCCGTACACCACCCTTCTATTCTCGCTTTTCGTTTGCCTCTTGTCCTCTGTTCTTTTCCGCTCTCGCTTTTCGTTTCCTCTGTTTGTTGTTTATGCGCGAGAACAAGTTTTCCCCTCCTCCGGTCTCATCCCGTGTTCTTTTTAGCTCCTTTTGCCTCCCCTCTCCGCGGCGCCCCCCCCCCCCCCCCCCACCTCCGCGGCGCCCCGACGCTGGCTCCGTCCCGCTCCCGAACGCCTTGGGTATGTCTCTCTCCGTCCCGCCGCCGATCTGGGACGCACCCCGTCGCTCCCTGTGGGCCTCAGGTGGCCCGGCCCTCTTCTCTTTTTTCCCCCACCCTTACACCGTCTTGATTCCTTTATTTCCCCATTTTGCACCTCCCCCACTCTTCTCCATCCCTTTTTTCATCACTCGGCATCTCATTTCGTCATTGTTCTTCTCATCCTCCCAAACCCGGGCGCGCCTCACTTCCCTGTCTTTTGCCTGCCTTTTGACTCCCTATAAACTGCCCTACGATTCTGTGGAAAACCGCTGCATCAAATATGTGCGGATCCTTGTCTACAGTGCTGTATATGTTTGTTGTCAGCGCTATTACCCTAGTCTGTTCTCCGAGAATTAATGCAACCACTTTCGTTCGCTCTGTGTCTGTGTGTGTGTGTGCGTGTGTGTGTGTGTGTGTATGTGTGTGTGTGTGTGAGTGCGTGTTTGAGCGCGTGTGTGTGTTTGAGTACGTGCGTGTGTGTGTGTGTGTGTTGTGTGTGTGTGTGTGTGTGTGTACTCCCTGGGTTCTCATTCAGTTCAGTCGCTTCTCTGTGTGTTTGAGGACGTGTGTGTGTGTGTGTGTGTGTGTGTGTGTGTGTGTGTGTGTGTGTGTGTGTGACCATTCCGGAGTCTTCTTCGGTAGCACTCCCTGGGTTCTCATTCAGTTCAGTCGCTTCTCTGTGTCGAGTACTCTCATGCTAAGTTTCATGGAGGAGTCCGCATCTGGCGACAGTTACCGCCAGATGCAGTCGAAATAGCCTTGGTGGGTGTATGCCTTCTTTTTGTTTGGTTAATTATAAAAAGCAACGACAATAGTGTCGCGGCTCTGTCAGTTGTGCTAGTACTCGTTGGACCTCACTACCCCTCACTCGTTTTTGAGCGACAGCTTATACCCGCCGCTATTTGAGGAACGAGAATGCGTGTCGTCCGTGTCGCGAAGATTTGCTCCACGTTTTGCCATCACGTTTTTCTAATTTCCGAGTGGTTCTGAAAACGTAGTCATTTAAAAAAAAACAAAAAAAAACAAAACGTAGTCATTTGTACGACTGTGGAAGTTAGAAACGCCTAACTGCTAGGGTAGCGCATAGCACATACCAACCTTTGTGTTGTTGACAGGTACTATTTTTTATTTTATTTTAATTTCTTTTCGTTTTATTTGATTGTATTATTTTGTTTTTTCTTAGGTTGTTTTTCCGGGAGCCCGGGCACCCAAGTTGTGCTCGGATACACGCCCGGGTGCCCGACCGGGCATGACTCCCGGGCAGGGTTCCGGGCAGCCCCAGCGCAAGGGAAAAAAAAAAAAAAAAAAAAAAAAGAAAGTCCAAAATTTTCAGGAAAAAAAAAATGTTGTGTAGAATTGCAATAGCAGCAATACGAACAACTTTTGGCCGACAGTCACATCAGAATTCCTCACCGAATCGGAGATGAAAAAGAAAATAGCGAAATCACACTGAAGGACCCCCCTTTCACCCACTTAGTCCCTTTAAAAACAATTTATACCCCCCTTTCCCCCCCATGAGAGCCAACTCTCAAAAAATGAAACGAGCCCGTATTTCGGGTCCTCTGGGAGAGCGCAGAAAGGCGAAAAAAAGAAAAAAAACATTTTTTTTTTGTGCACGCCCGGGTGCCCGGCCGTGCAGGCCCGGCCGGGCATGAAGAAGTTCTTCTTATTTTATTGTTTTACAAAAAGCCTAACTGCTAGGTTGACCTCACAAGTCAACCCGGAGTTATCCTGGCAGACTCAGCCAGCTTAGCTTGAGAGCAATTGCTCGACCCTGTGGTGCGAACAATTCCATTCTATTCTTCATAGCAGGTAAACTAAAAAAAGTACAGAGGAAAACCAAAGCGTTGCCCTTCTATATACTGCCCTTTTCCTAGCTACCTATAGTTCTACTTATGACATACTATCTATGCTACCCCTTCTACCTACACTGGCCTGCCACTAACTTCACAGGACTTCTACGGCCTGAAACCGGCCTTGTGCGGCGGGTTGGAACCAATGTTCCGAGTCCCCCTTGGCAATCTCCACCCTCCACCTCTTTATGACGTTCTGCGGTCTGCACAATGAACCGAGCTGCCGTTGTTCGTATCTCCCCCCCCCCCCCCCCCCCCCCCCCCCCCCAAAGAAAAAAAAGAAAGAAGAAAAAGCATTTCAGTTGTGTTGCGAGTGTAGCAAATGTTCATTTCGAGCGAGAAAAAGAGTGAAAAGAGAGCACATTGATGACATTATGCCGTTTGTTACCATCACCGTTTGTTACCGTTATCGTTTGTTACTGTTACCCGTTTGTTGGTGTTACCGTTTGTTACTGTTACCCGTTTGTTACTGTTACCGCTTGTTACTGTTACCTGTTTGTTAGTGTTACCGTTTGTTACTTTGCCGTTTTTTACTGTTACCCGTTTGTTAGTGTTACCGTTTGTTACTGTTAGAGAACAGAAACGAGAGAAACAAAAATAGCGATCTGTCTTTTAGGTAATCAATGGCCGTGATTGGTCGGTATCATACTTGCAACCGCACGAGCCGCACATTCGTGCGGAGTTCCGTGTGGGGGATGCCTGTGTGGAATCGTGCAGGTTTTTTATTTTTATTATTATTTTTTATCTTTTTTTGGGAGGGGGAAGGGGGGGGGGTATGACAGGAAGATTGGTTATGGCGAGGAGAGGGGGATATGGAGAGAAGGAGGATGTGGACGAGGAGGACGACGAGGATAGCGAGGATGACTAGGAGTCGTCGAGATGGGGGGAGGAGAAGAGATGGACGGAGGGAAAAGAGGAAGGGCAGGAGGATGGCGAGGAAGGGGAGGACACGAGGAAGGGAAGGAGACGAGGCATGGAAGATGAGGAAGTACGAGGAGGAGACAAGGAGGATGAGGAAGAGCAGGAGGAGGATGAACAGGAGGAGGACGAGTCAGAGGAGATGAAAAGGAGAAAGGAGGAGGAGACATGGGTGATGAGGAAGGGGAGGAGGAGCAAGGTGAGGCAGTACTCCTGTAATTTTTTTTTTCATCTCGCTTGTAATTTTGGCGGGGGGCCTCAAACGCACCATTTCGAACCTGGCCTTTTTTTTTTTTTTTCTGCGGGGGTTGACGGGTCGTTCCCCGCAAATGTTGTGCGCCGCACGGGATCGGTTGGGCACGTGCGCCGCACGTAGGGAACCGCCCGCCGCACGACGTGCGCTTGCAAGTATGGTCCGTATGTATTTCCTACCGATTTATTATGAAAACAGATAGCTGTGGTTAAAGGGGATGATCGATCAGCAATAGAATTGTCATCAAAGCACTCAGTATACCCAACCATTCACATTAGGCACCAATGGTGGATAATCCGATAATCACATCTTTTTGAAGTGCTCAAAATCACTCCATAGATGAGTTCGATGAAAGAGAGGGAAAAAGGAAAAGAGAAAAGAGTAGTCTTTAAGGCCAGGGGCACTGCCATTGGCATTGAGGATTGACTTTGATGATGGTCGAGCGTCATGATGATGACGACGACTACACTGGTCACAACAGGAAGAGTTAACCCTATGGTCACAACAGGAAGAGTTAACCCTATGGTCACAACAGGAAGAATTAACCCTATGGTCACAACAGGAAGAAATAACCCTATGGGTTCACTGCATGGTGGGCTTTTTCTTTTGGCAGCCATTTCGTTTTGAGGTTTTTACCAGGCTACTGTCTTCTTCCCCCGAACAGAATGCACCCTGATTCTGAATGTATACAAGCCATGATGAGGGTGCGTTGTGTTGGATGGTAGCAGGGTGTCCCGGATATACTGCCAGATATGCGAACCTGATGTCCGGGCTTACGTGGGATGTCTGCAATCATTTTTATTGTACGTCTCCATTTTTGTTGCTAAGAACGTGGAGGTGACACTCAGCAGGTAGTCGGTTGAATTGGGGAGTCGTCTTCGACATTTTGTAGGGTGGGTAGTGGTGGTTTGATACCCTTGTCGATGCAATGGATGGGTGAGTATTTCGTTAACGCTCTCTTCTTTCCTTTTTATTTCCCTTTTCTCTCCCCCTTTGTCACCCCGATCTGGGGGTTTGATTTTTTTTCAATCTGTGAACCTATGGCTGTAGGTGTGCACCCATCCATCCAGAGATTCCATAATGCCAGGTACTGCATACGGTTAGCTCGTCTGTGTATACTTTGCGCTGAACTGGAACAGGTTGTGGAATGTTGTAGTTTTTTTTTTTTTTTTTTTTTTTTTTTTKTTTCCGTAGTTTCATGGTTTGAGCAGGAGAACAGTAGGTGTGCTCATCATTCAGCCTTGTGTGTCTTGTTGTGTACAGCTTATCTGGTGGTTGCAGATGAAGAGACGGGGCGGCAAATTCCATTCGCTTTTCTAGAGCGAGTGAAGGAAGATTTCATGAGGAAATATGGTGGACCTAGTGGGAAAGGGCAGACGGCTATTGCCCATAGTCTGGACAGGGAGTTTGGGTACGTGTGACTGCACCCACACCTTCACGATGTTTAAATCTGTCAGCCTTTTGTTGGGAGTGTAGCGGCAGCTGCCACTAAGTGTAGTGGCAACTGCCGCCACTATATTCAGGGGTTATGGCATGCCTCCCGACCGTCGTAGCTTTTATTTCTAACCTATCGGTTTATGGGCCTTGCTGCACTACTCTCCAAATGTGCAAAATGAGACTGAATCCACAGTTAGAACATGGGAAGATACCTTGCCATTTTTTTGGGTCTTTTGTGCATGTGAAGAGTAGTGGAGCGAGGCCCTATGTCTATCCGAAGGTGCAGCTCCCCCAACTAGAGTACGCCTAGGTCTGCAGAGGAATCTGCTGACGTCTGTCCGAAGGTGCAACTCCCTCAACTAGAGTATGTTTAGGTGTGCAGAGGAATCTGCTGACAGGTAACAAGGCGTCTGCCTCTACATGGAAGTCAGGTTCCGGGTGTTGCGATTCGGAAAGTCAGTCCTATGTTCGGGGATTTGATGCCCCTCCGGTTTCGATTCAGATCTGAAAAAAGCGAATATCAACTCGTTAGATCTCACAAAGCGAATATCAAACATCAGGTATCTTCCCAAAAACAACAAACGACTAGTCGCAGTCCAGTGGTGTCGGCCCTTGTATTCGTTATGTCTGTGCCTCAGTATCCAGTGCAGCCTCCGCAGGAACACTCGTTCTCAGGTCCAGTGGGACATGAACTTGTGCGGACTTACGCGGACTACGAGATCGTCTTGCCGGGGTCTTGCCGGGGCAGCGAGGTGTTCTTTGCTATTCGTTTTGCGAGCTTTCTTTTGTCGGATGTGGTCGTTGTTGTGGCCGTGGGGTAATCGAGGTGTTCTTCGCTATTTGTTGCGGCCGCGGGGTATCGAGGGGTAAAAACCTAGTCACAATCGAGTGGTGTCTGCCTGCCTTCTATTTGTTATGTGGCTGTCGCTGTATCCAGTGCAGCTTCGCAGGAACATCTGGTCTTTGTTGCAGGCCGTGGGGTATCGAGGAGTTCTTTGCTTTCGATTTGTAACCGTTGTCTGGTCTGATGTGGTGCTTGTTGCAGCCCCAAGCTGAGGGATCACATGCAGTACTGCGTTGATCACCCAGAGGACCTGAACAAGGTATCGAAGGTGAAGGCACAAGTGGCAGAGGTGAAAAACATTATGATGGACAATATTGAGAAGGTGGGTGTCTTTTGCCCCCCTGTGTCCCCAGTGTGCACGTGCCCCGCCTCTAGTTCCCATCACTGCTTTTTTTTTGCCAAGCACATTGTGTCATGTGCGTGTTACCTTGCTTCTTCCTCTCACCAGTTCGTTTTTGATAGTTGAAGGGAAAGGGAATTTCCTAGTCTCTTCTTTGTTGCAATCTGCATGCCGGACACGCGTAACGATCTGGGTCAGCCGTGCAAGCATGCTTGCTTGCGGAACTTGCTTGTCGAACCTGCTTGCCAAACTAGTGTCAAATAGAACACCCGCCCGGTCATTATCGGTGCATCTGGACTGAAAGTTGTAAAAAATGCAGATATAATCTATTGTTACCAGACTGGTCTTGGACCACTTGCCCGGACGGGCCAAAAGTGAATTAAAAAATGAAATATATATATGAAACTCCGACGAAACAGTTTGTCACAGCCCCTCGTTTGTTGTCCTCTTCTCCCTCTCTGCCTACGGTTTACCGGGCAGTTCTATTTGACGATATATAATGAGTCTGTGAAACTCCGACGAAACAGTTTGTCACAGCCCCTCGTTTGTTGTCCTCTTCTCTCTCTCTGCCTACGGTTTTACCGGGCAGTTCTGTTTGTGACGATATAGGGAGAAGAGGACAACAAACGTGGGGCTGTGACAAACTGTTTCGTCGGAGTTTCACCGACTCATCAGGAGGCTGAACCCTCAACAGTCTGTAGAATCCCCTCACTGATTACACTGTAAGTGATAATCCACCTTAACCAAAATCAAAGTAGACTCACTTACCCACACCAGATGGAAAACTCTACAGACTGTCGGTTCACACCCCATCACAAGCCAGCAAAACACCCACGAAACAAAGAAAGGTCTGTCACAGCCAAAAAATACACTCCAGACACGCCGCTGGCTCACAGCGTGCAAGTGGGGTGTTATGGCATACGGGGATGGGGGCAGCTCGCGCTCAACTTCATCAACGTGGCGAGCCTTGCACGTGAGAGGCACAGTGGAGGTGGAGTTCAAAGAAGAATGAGAAATTTAATGGTTTCAATCTGCCCTTGTTTTTTCATTTTGTTTTTATTTTTATTTTTATTTTTGCATGTTATCACTGTGCCCGTTTTTTGCTTTTATTCTTTGTTCCGCAAAGTGCGCTCTTTTAGTTTGTAGTGATGTGACAATATATATATATTTTGTGAAGAATGTCGGTCCGACCCTGAGGCAAAAGTTGTTCGGTTTAGTTTTCGGCACAACATAATTTTTTTTCGCATTTTTTTTTTTTTACAGGGACCTTCCCAGGTCCTTGCCCGCACGGACGCCCCGGTCAAACAAGGTTGCCCGGCGGCCCGGTTTATAACACAGGTGACAGGATATAATCACCGGTCGTCCTATTCGGATGAAGATGGTAGAGCTTTCCAATCCTCCTTGCCACCGACTTTCTAAATGCTGGGTTTCAAAATCGCTCTCCAGACCTGGTTACCAAACGGGCTTGCCAAGCTCCGTTAGTCTGCTCGCTAATCGTTCTGGTCGACAAACACATTTGCTGCTCGACAAACACATTGTACACTTCGTTCAGCTCTGCAATTGTATTCACAGTGAAGTCTTCGTTAGATTGAAGTTCTACTCGCTGTCAGCTTTCTTTTGATGTCCATAGAGAAGATTGTCTGTCGAGTGTCGTTTTCGGCCGAGATGGAGGATTTGGGCCTAAGTTTGTGCTGAGGGGCCCGCTTTATTTGGGCCAAGACAGCTTTCGGATCATAAATGCCTATTGGATGCGCATGATGATGCTTGAAAGATCTAGTGTGCAGTGGTGGTCCCAAGCATGTTGTGTGACCTTTTTTTTTTTTTTTTTTTTTTTTTTTTTTTTTTTACCATGCGAAATGGGTCATATGACCATTTGGAAGCCATCCACTGGGAGAAGCTCGAGCCAGAACAGAAACTGTGGAGCTGAAGTTTTCTTGACCCAATATCTGACCGTCTCCCCATGTGTGATGGCTTGCACTTTTTGGCTTCAGGATGATGATAGTGTGTCTGACTGCCGGCAAGGGGTGAAGCAGAGGTGTCCCATCCTACCCGCTCTGTGCCCCCTTGGCTGTTTCATTCACCAACGCCTTTACCACATTGTGACGAAAATGCCCCTCTGTGCGAGGAGGGCTGTGCTGGCGTGGTGCAGCAGTGGCGATGGTTTAATTTCGCATAACGACTGTGTTCAGGAATGTGGCGCTAAGGTTTTGAGTATGTGGTTAGTAAAATTTCCGATCCCGTTTTCTGTGCAGGTGCTTGATCGTGGAGAAAAGATCGATCTCCTTGTTGATAAGGCAGATAACCTAAGAAACCAGGTGAGAATGACAGCCTGTCCTTCAACCTTTTCTCCTCAGTTTTCTCCAGTCTGACAGTTTGTGTATCCAAGCATCTGTGTGTGTGTGTGTGTGAGAGAGAGAGAGAGAGAGAGAGAGAGAGAGAGAGAGAGAGAGAGAGAGTACAGGTTGTTTGTGCTACAATGCACATGCTTTTTGTTGCTTGACCACTAGAGAGAGAGAGAGAGAGAGAGAGAGAGAGAGAGAGAGAGAGAGAGTACAGGTTGTTTGTGCAACAATGGACATGTTTTTGTTGATGGACCACTATGCAAGGAATTCGGATGATCCCCTGCCTGTGATCACGTGTGCGGACTCCTTGCAAACGCCAGTTGTGATGTTGAACATGGAGAACAGGAGGTGACACGGAAGGCCACTTGGTTCAGGTGGCTGTGTTGTCCAGCACAGGTTGCTGGTTCGAGACTTGCCATGCCCGATGGGGTACTTGTGGTGCATGCACCAATTTTGGGTAACAGTTCGAAATAAGGCCGGAAAGCCGGAAAGCGCACAGGTGGTGGGTTCAAAATACTTGTGGTGCATGCACCAACTTTGTGGTACAATGCACATGCTTTTCGGAGGCGCAGGTCACATGGTTGATGTCTGCCATGCCCAGTGGGGCACTTGTGCGGGTTTGCCGGAAGGCTGGAAAGCGCACAGGCGGTGGGTTCAAACTTCAAACTCAAGCTGTGCACACCATGCAAGGCATTTGTGGTGCATGCTCCACGTGTGGTGCATGCTTCACGATAGCTTGAAGGTTGTCCCAGCTGTGGCTCTGATCTGACAGGCGGTTAACGGGGACCACCACTTTCAGCTCCCGAGAAACGGATCAAAAACTGAAATTAGGGTACAGGCCCTTTGGGGGCCATGCAGCGGAGTGGTGGGCCCGGTGCCTGCTGCAAGTTTTGTGGTGCCGGCAGGTCTTGAGCCTGCCACCTGCGGCTTAGATTTTGCCATGCCAGGCGTCCCGTGTTGGCACTCGCTCAGGTCTAGCTTAGTGGCTGAAACGCAGGTCTTGAAATATGGGGCCACACAGGATTCCCATTGTTCTGTAAGATCCTGGGTAGTGACAGAAGTCTCAGGGGCTGAGTAAACTCTTAAACCACCAGTGCGTGCCCCAAATTTCAAGACCCACGATTCTTCAAGGGGCTGGAAAATCCTTGAAATGGGACTCCCAGGGGCTGAGCAAAAACTTAAAACCACCAGTACATGGCCCCAGCCAACTTCAGAATCACGATCGCGCTTCTCCTAAAATTGCGGAGGCTCGGGGCAATCCGACCAACATGACTGGCAGTGCTAGCCGAAACAAAAACAA